GTGTAGCATGGAATTTTTCTTTGGACCCTAATCAACTTAAAAGTTGATTTATTATTTAATTATGATATTAAACATTTTTATTATTTATATATTTTTTAATTAAAATTAAATATAAGTTTACGTTACAATGACTTAAATTTTATAAAAGGAAGGGAAAAGATAAAATTCAAAATTTAATGCCAGTTAAAATTAAAATAATATCTCTTTCTAGTATATTTTTAAAAAAAAAATGAATTTTTGCCATTTTGGTTGCATTTGGAAGTTAATGTGTTATTATCACCCTAGTTGTTACACTTATCTATACATACATTCACTCTTTGGTCAATTATGGTAAGCTTACAAAAGCAGCCTTGAGAGTTTTAGATGTAAAATGGGAAACCCAAATTGCTTTTCCCCTTGAAAATAAACCACAAGGTATAATTATAGACGTGGAAGTTCAAACCCATTCTTAGACTTTTGAAAAATGTAATTTAAAATTTAATTGTTTAAGAACACCGTTAAAAAAAGATTTTAAAAAGATAAAATATTCATTTTAGACATTGTTGTAAATTAAAAATATAAGACACCTAAAAGTGATTTTCTACCTCAAAAGCAATAAATTTAAGTTTACGAGGTTAAGTTAAAAAATACTTTATCAACCATGATTTTAAATCAGATACCGAATGTTTAGCATTGCTTATAGGGTGAAAAATTATTTTCTATTATTAGAAGCATTCTCCAAACTGGACATTAAATATTCATACACAGATAGTTATATTAAACATTTTATGTTGTGAAGTACAAGAAATGTGTTATCTATTCAAGTGACGAACTACTAATATTTTTAGTGTAATTTAAATAATTAAAAGTAATTCTTACTTTTTGCATTTAATATAAAATAATTTTTTTAACAAGAATATAAAATAATGCCATAAATAATAAATTTTAACAAGAAATATAACTAAAGAGTTAACATGATTATCACCATTATGATGGCCAAATATATGATTTGTACCGGCATGAAATTTTTTCTAAAAGAAGTTAGTTTTATTAAAAGTAGAAAATAATCAAATTATAACAAAGGTTTACAATCATAACCGTAAACTAAAAGTATAATAATAATATTTTCCTATAATCATTAATACAAAAAACTAGTTATTTAAGACCACACAAATATCATACAAGAAAATTGTTAAAAAAACCTAATCAAATAAACTCTAACAAAATGTAGATATAAATATATTTGATCGCATCAGCAACGAACAACAAAAGAAGATTAAACTATTGAAAGACCATCAAAAAACTGCAAATTAGAGTCAAAAGACGTGAAAAACTATCAACGGATGCAAATCGCGTATCCAAATCCAATTCGATGGTCCAAAGCAAGGAAGACCAACAAGATAATAAATAAGTGTCATATTGATTAGTCATAACCTTGTTAAATCCAACTCTAAGAAAAATGATAAACGAAACAACAACCGTACGACCGAAAACATGTCATAAATGCAGAAATATTAAAAATTTAAAAAGCAAGGGAAAAAAAACAAAGATATACTACAATAAAATAAAGAAAAACAATGAATGTCAGTGATCGACGATCAACAATAAAGTATTTAAAAGTATAAAACTCCATGTCACACTTGTTATAATTCAAAATAAATTAAATAATTTAATTTAAAATTAAATTAAATTATTTATCACTTATAAAGTATTTAATATGAATCATTGTTGTAATATTTGATAAATATAAATATAAAATCAGTTCAAAAAATATAAATACCGTATTCATAAAAGATGACACATTTAGATACCAAATATATAATGTTTTAAAAAATATAAATAACAAATCGATTTATAAAAATTATAATAATTAAATTTATAAAAAAAATAAAAAATATCAAATATCAAATAATATAGTAAACTTATTATTATTCGCAAAGGTAGGAACGTTATCTGAATTCTTATAGGTAATTAAAATTAGGGTAAATTACATGATTGATCACTTTGTTTTGGTTTTGTACATTTTTCCTCACTAAATTAGAAAAAAATAGTATTTAATCACTTTTCTTTTTAAAATAATCTGGTAATTACGATATAATATATGTTTATAATATTAAGTCATTAGTAATTCATATATTGAAGACACAGTATTACAAGCAACCTTAACGTCGGTCAAAGAAAAATAAAGTCATTTTTCCAGTTCATAAAAATCATTAATGATTGTTTGAAAATTGCGAAGTTTGGCCCAAGAGATTGAAAATGGGGCAAAATTCCAGGTCTGTCAATTTAATTTCTTAATGATTATTTTTAAAAAATTTGATTGTTCAATTATAAAATATTTTTTTATTTAATTACTTTGTTATTTTTTTTATAGAATTAGTTAGTTTTATTAAAAATAAAAAATATTTAAAATTACAATAAATGTTTACAATTATAAATATAAATTAAACATATAATTATGATATTTTTCCTATAATCATTGACAAAAAAAAAACTAGCCATGAGATCATACAAGGATCGAACAAGAAAAAAATTTAAAAATCTATCTAAAAAACTTGAATAAAAGATAAAATATTAACAAATCTGTTTGTATTGAAAAAATGAATCACGACGGGGAATCGAAATACTGAAAACCATCGACAACTGCAAGTTAGAGTTGAGCGTCGTGAGAAAACTATTTACGAATGTAAATAATGTATCTAAATCTAATCTGATTGTTTAAAACAAGGAAGACCTTTAAAATAACAAATAAGTGTCGTCTTGATCAGTCCAGACGAAGTCAAATCCAATCATGGGAGAATAAATGAAAAAAGCGATCAACCAATTGATAAAAAATTGAAAAGTACCAAAAGATAGAGGAAAGTGTATAATAAAAACAAAAGAAAGCGTATCATAAAAATAGAATTATTAAAAACTAAAAAAACAAAAATATATAAATACGATATAAAAAGAAAGAGAAAAAATAAAAATCGACGGTGGACGATTAATATTAAAATTCATATCGTCTTTTGCTGACCAAATATGAAAAAAAAAGAATGACATCAAAAAGAGAATTTTTTTTAGAGAAAAGGAGAACGGGTCTCCCTTAATTAAAGATTTATATTTTTGTGACATCGAGAAAAATCATTTATTAGTTTATTAAAAGTTATGAAATGGTTAGATGTGTTCATAAATTATTATTTTTTTTTGTGAGCATGTGACTTAATTTTTTTTTCTTTGGACGAGCAACCTTAAATTAGATATATTATTATTATTGTCATTATTTGAACAGAGTTTTAATTGAGAATAACTTAATAATTACTTTTTAAAATTTTATTTTTAATATAAAAAAACTTAACATGAGGATAAAAGGAGTTGCAGGCGATGCTCCCAAATTCATTTTGGTTGCTTTTGTGGCCATAAATTTAACTTTAGACGGGTCCAAGACTAAGGAAACTTTTCGACATTCATAATTATGTCCTGCAAGGTTTTATTTTAATAGGCCCTTTCTAACTCAAATTTGTGTTTGACCAAATTGAAGATTTTTTTTAAAAAAAAAAACAAATATTCTAGACTTGCATATGATTTTTTTTATATTCAAGATTTTTATAATAATAAAATTAAATTATTAGATTATACTTGAAATTGAATTTAGACCCTTTTAATTTTTTATCTTGAGTTTCCAGACTTGAAATTGATTTAAAAAAAAAAATAGGATGGTTAAGAATTATTTGGGGATCTATTACTCAGTGATGCCTTTTATTACAACTCTAATAGTTTTTGTAAACTATACTACGAGGCCAACTCTCATAGTACCACAGCCTGATTACATTCAAATGATGCCACAATTCACTACTATAGCATCTGAACAACCTCAAATCAGTTCTCAAGCTCACATTACTGCAAGTGGTGGATGACAATGCTTGGTATCCAAACTTGAAGCAACACATCATCTCACAAATGACTTCTTCAACTTGCAAATTGAGACTGTTGCTCCTACCTTTGGAAATGTTAAAGTTAGAAATAGTAATTTCTTATCCATTCAATATACCAGTCAGTCCAACCTTCTAAAAATTTTAAGCTGAAAATTTTGTTATATGTACCTGGTATAACAAAAAAAAAATTGCTTTATGTGTCAAAATTTTCCCAGGATAATCAGGTCTCCCTTGATTTCTTTTTCAAATATTGTCAAGCAAGGGACTTCAACACAAAGGAAGTTGTTCTCAGAGGTTTTAAGTGTGTCGGTTTATACAAATTTACGAATAATATCAGTAGGTCTGCTCAGGATAATAATAATACACAAAATTGTTTCCTTTTTTGTTCTTCTTTCTTGATCTCTAGATTTGTGACAGTGGACACCTTTCTTAGGGTATCATAGTTGATTCCTTGAATGCTTAAAAAAATTATCTTTGTCAAGCATGTCGATTTCAAAAAATTGTACAAGTTACTATTTCTTGATTCTCATATTGATTTCATAATCTTTTAAAATTAATCACTGTTAGATGTTTGAGGTCATAACCCTGCTTATTCAAAAGGTTCATTATTGTATTGCTTTTAAAATTGTTTGAGCTTTTTAACTTAAAATGAAACATTGAGGGCTAAAAAGTCTCAGAAAAAAAGAATAAAAGATAAAATGATTATTCTGCCAAATATTAGGGGCCTTTTTGTCTTTAGAATGAAATGTTGGGGGCAAAATGCTCCCAAAAAAATAGAATATAGGACAAAAAATCATTTTAATAAATTTTGGAGGCTAATTTTAGTATTATGCCATATATATATATATATATATAAGAGGTCATTAAAAAAATTAAAAGAATCACACATTTTTTTAATCTGAATAAAATCAAGCAGACTTTGGATTCTTTCTAGTAAAGGAAGAAATAGGCCAAGGGCCTTCTTACATATGCCTCGAGTAATTTATGATGGAAACTTCTCTCATCCAATCAATAGCACAAAATGATTGAAATTATAAGGCCTCTCGTTTGACTTGTGTTTCCAATATCTTCCTATATTAATCTCTCTCTCAAAACCAAATTGCAGCAGTGTTTCTATCAGGGGGAAAAAAAAGCTATAGCCACCATCACTTTTCACCACCATTACCATAGATTTTGAAACAAAGTTTCTTTCGTGTTAACAGTTAAAGAAGATCTGAACAAAACAGTTAAAAGATCATGGGAAGGGCTCCTTGTTGTGACAAGGCTAATGTGAAGAAAGGACCTTGGTCACCTGAAGAAGATGCAAAGCTGAAGGACTACATAGACAAAAATGAAACCGGAGGAAACTGGATTTCTCTTCCACAAAAAGCTGGTTTGTTTGATTGTTTAATTATTTATCAACCTGTAAATTAAAGGGTCTTTTCAGTAGTTTTTGTTAGTGAATTTGAATGTGTTTGGCCTTTGTATTTAGGTCTCAGGAGATGTGGGAAAAGTTGCAGATTAAGATGGCTTAACTATCTCAGGCCAAATATTAAACATGGAGAATTCTCTGATGATGAGGATAGGATCATCTGCACTCTCTTTGCAAACATTGGTAGCAGGTATTAAACATGGATCTTTGGACCAAGAAACAACTTTTAGGTAAATTTTCTCTGATTTTGTCCATGAACTCACATCATGAGCTGCAACAGGTGGTCAATTATAGCAGCTCAGTTGCCAGGCAGGACTGATAATGATATCAAGAACTACTGGAACACAAAGCTGAAGAAGAAACTATTTGGCAGGGCTCCCCAGTCTCAAAGAAAACCTCATCAGATTCACCATGCCACTTTATCATCTCTTCTTCAACAATCATCTTCACCTTCACCTACATCAACATTACTCTATAATTGCAGCAACAACACCTACCAAACACCAGATACATCTTTTTCATGCTTCCAAACATCATATTCCTCTAGTTTCTCAAACACCGGTACTTCTTGTCTTACTGTTGCATCAATTCATCAACCCCGGCACCAGGAGAGTTTATTAAGTCCAATCCAGCATTATCAGCTGCATGATAGTGGTGTCCAAATGTTCGGAGGTGAAGCTAGTTGTAGCTCTTCCGATGGGAGTTGCAGCAATATTCAAAACAGCGGCAACAACAAAGAATCAGTGTATAACAATGGTGATCATCATCAGCAAATAGGGAGTCATCACAGTTATTTCTACAGTGAAGTTGCTGATGAAAGCCAGAAGCCAATCATGGTATCAAACGTTGACCATGGTGCTGATGGACGGCCCGATCATCAGAAATCACCAAACGGATTGTGGGGTGAAACTGAAACACCACTGGATTATGGGATTGAGGAAATTAAGCAGCTAATTAGTACTACGAGTAGTAGTAACAACTACATTTTTTATGAAAACAAGGCAGATGAAAAAGTTATGTACTATTGATCTGACTTGGACTGTGTGTAAAATCAGATGGACTTGAAGGGCAATGGGTTTATAGATTTAGGGGTTAGTTTGTTTATTTAGAATGATTAAACCCTAAATGATTCAGAGACTCTGTATGAATTAGCTCTGAATGTGACATGTTTTATAATAGCTCTGAATCATTCAGAAGTACTTCATTGTTGAATCATTCAGCGCTGTTTTGTTGAATCAGTCAGCACTGAATCATTCAGAGGTACAAAACAAACGCGCTTAATGTTGAACGCTGAACGATTCAGCATTCAGCGCTGAATGGTTCCATTAAGAGGTAAACAAACAACCTCTTAGTTTTTATTTTTTTTAATAAATTATGTATTTAGTCTTCTAATTATTTGTGAGATTTTGTTTTGATTAATCAACTTTTTTTTAAACTAATACCCAATGTTATATTTTGGATTCATTTTGTCACCCTTCATCAAAAAATTAACAGTAATGTTGATATGTCAATCATAAGATAATGACACATCATCATTGAAAAAATAAAAAAAATCACATCAATAGTTCTTTTTATTTTTTAACGACGAACGATTAAAATGTAATATTAAATATAATTTAACTGTTAAATGACTAAAATAAAATTACTCAAATAATTAGGTGACTGAATACATAATTTATCATTTTTTGAATTTCTTTTCGGGAAATGATGTAATTTTCTAGCACCCATGGATTTTGACTGCAATGTTCAGAAATAAAACATTAAATTTCATGGGAACTAGAGAGAAGCCATCATCTTTTCAAAGATCACTAACTTGAAAACTAAGCAAAACCACTTATCCAATCCAATATTTAATCAATTTCGCGTTTCTTAAATGTTTCACTTTTAGAATTTTCATTTGTTAACTTTGAAATTAAACAATACGAATAATTAAAGACATTGGATTTTTGTGGATGTTATTCTTTAATATCTAAAAATGACTTGACGTTAATCCTACTCCTAGTTTTCTTTATAAAAGTATGTCAATTATATATATTAAATTAAAATTATAAGTTATCTTTAAATAAAAGGTTAATTGTGGTCACGTTAGAATTCATCAAATGGATTCAGCAATAAAAGAGAGTATTTTTCTTAGAGGTACTGGGTTCGAGCAGATGTGTCTATAAGGTGTGTACGCGTTGTTAGAAGATTTTAGAACAAATACTTCATTATAATACTCATACTATTTTTTTTTTAAAATGGGACCACTTTAATCCAAATTTGACATGGACCAACTTTTTTCATTTTTTATAAAATCTCAACAATTTTTACAAATTGTAAAAATTTAAAAAAATTATTTTTTACAAGTTTTTATGTTATATTATTTTTAAATATTTTTTTATAAAATACAAATATTTAACGTTTTACGTAATATGTATGGTATTGAAAAATAATAATAGACGGCATCTTAATATATATTTAATTTTTTTTGTTAGGTGATATAATTTGATAAAAAAATAAATTAATAAAGATGAAAAATTAAAATAATTATAATAATTTTTGGAAAAAAAGCGAGATAAAAATATCCTGAAAGGATGTTACACGCACCATTATAGTAAGGGCAATTGGCCATGATGATTTCGTCCATGTTTTTTTAAATGATTGAAGAGTAAAACAAATTAATTATTTTTTTTTCCTATTTGGCTCCAGCACTGCTTGACTTCTATACGCGCCGGATCTGGCTCTCTCAGTTAGACTTTGTCTTCCACCTCTTGATCACAATAAGGAGTTTTCAGTAATTCTGAAATCTTATTTTACATTTAATGTTATTATATGTGAATTTACTTAGGGTAAAGTGCACAAGTGGTCCTCTAACTATAGGAAATTATTTTGTTGAATCCATCGACTATTAAAAGTTACAAAATATTCTCCAGACTATAAGGAGTTGCTTCGTTGAATTTCACGACTATTAAAAGTTACAAAATGGTCACCCGGTTATTCATTATATTCCAAACTTGTCCTTTTATGTTAAAAGATTAATGACATCTAAGATAGATGTTAACATGCTGACTAAGATATTATAAAATATGATCTCATAATCTCAAACAACTATCATATCTCAATCAACATGTTAGCGTCTAGCTTATATGATCGTTAATTTTTTAACGGAAAAGCACGTGTCTGGAATATAATGAATAGTTAGGTGACCATTTTGTAACTTTTAATAGTCGAGAGAGTTAACAAAATAGTATCCTATTCTCGGGGACCATTTGTATAGTTTACCCATTTATTTAAATATATTTTAGTTGAGATTGTATGATATATATGCTTTTAAATTTTTATTATTCAATTAATTAATTAATTTGAATAGAATGTTGTAAAAGTCATTATATAAATATCCTTCTCAATCGAGTTTGCTATTTAAAGAATCTAAAGTCTTGTATGTTACATCAATTGATTGTTAATTAAATTTTAATTTATTAAGTTGATATTTTAATTAAGTTTTTAATGATACATAATGATTGGATTTTTTTTATAAATTCTAAATTTAATTCTAATCTAATTAGAATAAGGGAAAAGGTGACTTTAGGGAAAGGAAATAGAGTGCTCTTAATGGATTTAAAAGCGATGACCTAAGTGAATGTGAAGGAACAAAGATAGCAAATTGATTAACCGGCCAAAAATATATGCTCAATTGAATATAAAATATAGTAATGTATAAAAAATTCAATAAATATAATTAAACATTATTCTAAACAAATTTTCTAGACACAGATGGATCGAGAGAGGGCAGGTGAGGCGTTCGCCCTCTAAAAATTTCAAATTAATAAATATCTTAGATATTTTCTTTATATTTTCAATTGATAATTTATTATTGTGCCATTAGAATTTTATAAGTTCGTCCCCTAATATAAGATCTCGTGTCTGCTTCTGTACCTGCATACGTACATTCTCCATAAGAAAGTATCCTTTGAACTTTGGATTTAAGAAAGAAAATTAAAAATCCGATAGCCTCTACTATTTTTTCATGCATAACCAATGCAGCTTCAAAGTTACTTCCCAAAAGAAATAAAAAACAATTTCAGATACATAACAAAAGAATATGTTTTTAAAGTTCAAATTTTGACAATCAGCAGCGAGAAACATGCGAGGCAGGTTTCAATTATTGATCACCCCTAATTGATCAGGATTGGCACAGTATGGAGAGGTAAAAAATAAATTTAATTTCTGAAAGTGAGAGAAAATGATAAATAAATCCAACTAGCTAAGCTTATAGCAGAATGATCAAAGCCAAAATAATAATAATAATTCAATTATATGTGTGTGTATTGAGCTCCAAAATCATATGATACGATGAATATAATATTGGCTAATGGCTTTACTTGATTCTCCCCATGAGAAAGCATAAAAGCAAAATATATATTATTGAGAAGATAATCCATTGACATTTTTCTGAATTTTCTTTTATGACAATTAGGCTTACATTTAATGGGTTTCTTTGTCAGCAATAGGCATTGTTTATTCTAAGATTAAAACAAAAACATTTGGGATTTTAAATATATGAAGGGGAGAGTTTCTAGGAATGTTTTGTTTCTAGTGGTGACTAGAAAATGGATGGCACCAAACGGTCCATCAAATTTTAATCCATTGTTTGGTTGTTAGTGAGCGAGCATCTCCTACCTTAACTTATTTTAATTAAAGAATGGATTATTAATTCCTTTCACAAAGTTTAATTATCAAATCATCCATATTGTACTAGAGCTTCAAGACCCAAAGCTAAAAGGCCACGATAAATCAGACACTTGTTCGAGCACGATGTTGGGAATCCTCATCGGACCAAGGCCCCTTTAAGACCTTTTTATTGAAGAATGGTCACTTGTCATACCTTCTCAATTGAAAATAGGAAAGATTGTTAACGACCACGCACAGCAAAGAGTATGACTAAAGGACATCCATACTTCTCAAACTATAACAATGAAGCATACATGAATCTCGATATTAATGGCAGAATTCAACAGTATTTTTTTATGAGAGAACAAAATGAATTTCAGCCTCATTTTCATCCTATTACTTAACTTAGATTTTTATCATATTTCCAATAATCATGAATAAGACTATACCAAAGAAAATTTTAATGTTGCTTCCTATAAGATATGGGAAATTTAAAATGAAAACTATGCATTGTAGAGAATATAAGAGCATGTTGTTTTAACTTTCATACTTGTTGGCTACCTCATTTTGATTTTAGAAAACTGAATAACAAGATATATAACTCAAAAAATATAATCTTTCAACATAACTCATATATATATATATATACACGATCTCGGTAGTAAAGGAATCGTTATTATTCTTTGAAGTCCCCGGTTAGACCATCATTAATGTCAAATGATTAAGAGCTATCTTTGAACAAATATTATATTCTATTTACCCCAAATTAATAAACTCATATTTATTAGGTTAACTACACTGATAATCCATTTTCTTTTCAGCATGTCTTATTTTGGTCATTGATTTTAAATAAGCTACATTTTTGTCACTTACATTTTCGAGTTATTATATTTTGGTCATTGGTCGTTAATTCTCGTTAGTTTATTGATGTGACATATTAGTAAAAATGTTAAATTTTAACTTGACCCCTATATTTTAGACACATACTAATTTGACCATAAAATACTAATTTAATCCATAAACTTTAGATAAAATATAAATTTGAAATTGTCGGGAAAAATAATCTCTAAATGGGTTCATAGTTCAAATTGATATTTTTCCTAAAGCTTAGGGGTTAATTAGTATTTTGTCTAAAGTTTAAGGTCAAACTAATATTCTTTCTAAAATTTAAGGGTTAATTTAAAATTGAATCATTTTTTCTAACATGTCACGTTAATAAACTGAGTCAACTGTCCAATGAGCAAAATAATACAGATCGAAAACAAAAGGACTGTAATGTAACGTTTTTAAAATCAGTAACCAAAATCAAACAGACCAAAAACTAAGCGGATACCAGTGTTAGTTACCCATTTTTATTTGAATTCTGTTCCCCCCCCCCCGGCCCGGTATAGGGTGGGTCATGACCAAGGTAGGCTTGGGCCTAGATACACCGATGACTGCTTGAGAAAAGAATATGAGAAGGAGATGAGAAAATACAAGAAAATGGA